TGCCTTGGCTGGATTTTCCTTGCAGGGCTCTTTTTCATAATAGTAGCCAGAATGCAGCAGATGTGTGGATAAAGAATGGCTACATCTCTGGCCCCCATAAGACTTTTTCATGACACTTAGGGGCAGGCATTTAGACATTTGCATTTCCCCTTGTCCATTTCTCCTCTCACTGGTTCATTTCAAATTTGTATGTTTTTTCCCCCCTTCTTTGGCTACTTAATATTATTATAAAATACAGTATCAATTTATCTATAGATTCTTCTACTTTTAAATTCAGTAATTTAAAAAAAACTTTATTTCCTGCAGTGAAGATATCCTTCACTGCAGGGACATCTTCCTGGCTCACCCTTTCTTTAACTGTGCTAGTGGAGCTATCCATTGAACTCCAATATTGGTCCTCTTTTTTGAAAGCAACTGGCTGTTACACGCTTTATTCAGACTTGGCTCAGGGTGATTCTGAGGTGGCAGGAAAGGATCAAGAGATAAAGTCTGAGTCAGAGTGAAGATGGCTTGCTTCCCAAAAGATGGGGGTAGAGCTTCTTCTTTTGTGATTGTGTGAAATAGAATGGTTTTACTTAGAGAACAAGAGGAAAGAGTGAAAGTGAGCGAGAGAGAGACAGACAGAGAAACCGAGACAGAGACAGAGAGAAAGAAAGTGAGCAAGAGAGAATGCAGACTTCTCCAGTGGAGAGAAAGCCTATGGTAGCCCATAACTTTTAAAAAAAAAAAAGCATTACACACCCCAGGTTGAGATGTGAGTGACCATATTTCAACGCATTTGTTTCTATCTAAAATATTTGGATTTTTCCCACCTAATTTGCGTCAAGTGCTTAACACATACCTTTTGAATTATTATTACTGAAGCATCTGAAGTTCTAAGTTTTTCTCTGGGCACTTGTGGACAATCTAGAAGTTTTAATTTGTGATGTTTCATTTTTTTAAATTGAATCACTGGGAGATTCATGATTGAGTTTCAGCCATAAAATGATCAAACACCACCAGTGTACATTTTCTACAACCAATGTCCCCAGTATTCCTCATGTCTCCCCCACCCGACCCCACCTCCTGCCTCTATGACAGATAATTTCCTTCTTACTCTTTTTTTCTGGGGGTGGGGGACACATCTGGTGATGCACAGGGGTTACTCCTGGCTCTGCATTCAGGGATTACTCCTAGCAATGCTCAGGGGACCACATGGGATGCTGGGAATCAAATCCAGGTGGGCCTTGTGCAAGGCAAATGCCCTACCTGCTGTGCTACTGCTCCAGCCCCTCCTTCTTACTTGTTCTCTCTACTTTTGGGCATTATGATTTGCAATACAGATACTGAGAGGCCATCATATTTGGTCCTTTATCTTCAGTCAGCACACCTCTCCCACCCTGAGCATTCCCTCCAACCATCATTGACTTAGTGATCCCTTCTCTATCCCAGCTGCCTTCTCCCCCTGCTAATGAGGCAGGCTTCCAACTATGGAGCAATATTCCTAGCCCTTGTCTCTACTGTCTTTTGGTGTTAGTCTCATATTATGTTATTTTATATTCCACAAGTGAGTGCAATAATTCTATGTCTGTCCCTCTCTTTCTGACTCATTCCATGTCCATCCATTTAGAAGCAAATTTCATGTCTTCATCTTCCCTAACAGCTGCATAGTATTCCATCGTGTAAATGTACCAAAGTTTCTTTAACCAGTCGTCTGTTCTTGGGCTCTTGGGTTGCTTCCACATTCTGGCTATTGTGAACAGTGCTGAAATGAACATACAGGTGCAGATGTCCTTTCTACTGTGCTTTTTTGCATCCCCGAGATATATTCTCAGAAGTGGTATTGCTGGGTCATATGGTAATGTTTCATCTTAATTGATATCAGAATAAAAGAAAATTTCTGCATCTGTGGCTTTTAAATTTTCTTGAATGATTTGCTTCTTTCTTATCTGAGGTAACCATCTGTGACAAATTTGTTAACTGTGGGGGTGAGGTGGGATTTGGGCCATATTTGGCTGTTGTCAGGGCTTACTCCTGGCTCTGCAGTCAGGGATCACCCATGGTGCAGTTTGGGGGACCATATAGGGTATTGGGGATTTGAACCTGGGTCAGCTGAATACAAGGAAAGCACCATACCCACTGTACTATCTCCCTAGTCCCGTAACTTATTATATTTCAATTGCATAATCTTTAAAACCATCATTCAAAATGTGTGTACATTTCCTATTATACCTTATCCCCATCATTCCCTCACTCCCCAGGACAAAAGCAAACCTTTCTCACTTGTTAGCTGGGTGCCTTTAGATGCATCTTTGTCGTTATAATCCTATCTTGTTGATTATCAAGACACTATTATGGAAGTTGAGAATACAAGAGTGAACATGACAAAGTTGCTGTTCTTGGGGAGTATACTTTGGATACAGATGCTAGGAAGACAGTAGCTAATGACAATACTATTGACAGAGTGAAGAAGGAACAGTGGTGAAGTGGTGAGGTGAAGGTGTTTGGGATGGTTTTCAAGGAAGATTCCTGATAAGTGGCTGATCCGGGGGCTCCTATGGGTCCTTAGCCCAGAAAATCTTCCACGTCATTGGGTGCCACTCAAATCCCCTTTAAGATGATGCTTGACTTGGTTTCTGAATCAAGATAGCCTTCGTTGCTGGGACATAAGCCCAGGGGGCAAGACAACCATCCACTGAACTCTAGTGCTGGTTCCCTTTTCTGAAAGCATCTGGCTGTTAATGCTTTATTCAGACGTGGCTCAGGGTGACTCTGGGGTGGCAGGAAAGGACCAAGAGATAAAGTCTGAGTCAGAGTGAAGATGCTTGTTTCCCAAAAGGTGGGGGCAGAGCTTCTTCTTTTTTATGTGTGTGAAATACAATAGTTTTATTTAGAGAAGAGGAGAGAATGAGAAAGAGTGAGAGAAAGGCGGGGAGAGGGAGAGGTCTGCAAGAGAGAATACAGACCTCTCCAGAGGAGAGAATGCCTATGATATCCCATAAAGTGAAAGGAAGGCATTATACATCCCAGGTTGAGAGGTGGGTGACCACCAGAATGGGAATGGCTGGGAGCAGAGTTTCTCAAGGCAAGGCTTAGATCCAGCTAGTTGCCCATAACACATGATTCACTGTCAAGGACGCTATTTCAAGGAGGGACTCTAAAAAAGAAAGGAAGTGCTATGCTTAAAGGCACCCACACAGTGCTGAAAAGCAAACATGCCCTGTCCTTACAGTTTGCATGGTAGTTCAGAAACGTGACTCATATAAGAAGAAAATAGCACTACAGTGGGGGTGGGGGGCAGGGAAAGGAAGATAGATACATATCAACTTGTAGAAAACAGACCGGAAGTGTCACTGGAATTGACAGAAGTCAGATAAAGTTTATCAGTGAAAGATGGAACCAGGGGAAGAAGAATGTAAACCAAGTACTAACAGAAGCAGATTTGGTCACCAACAGACATAAGGGCCCATGGCGATGCTGTGCAACAGGACTGGGTTCTGGATTGACAAGCATCCTAAACGACAGCAGACATATCCCAGATGCATACAGCCCTAACCCAAGTAGGCTACACGTCACAAGAAAAAGTCAATTCCAGTTTAGGAGTGAAGACTTTGGTTAAGAGGGTGAAAGTTCCTCTCTTCTTTATTTTAAAAGTTTCCTAGGTATCTTTGTGTAATCAGGAGGGAGAACTTTAGTGGCCCTGTGCAGTAAGTTCAGAATGATAGCTAAACAAAGTCAAACACAGGCAATGGAAAGCAACTGCAAGTTTGTGAGTGGAAGGAAACAGGGAGAAGGCTTTGAGGTGGGAAGCTTCTGATCGTGCTGAGCAGAACAGAAACAAGAAAAACAAAACACCAAAAAGAAGGGAAATGAGCCTATTTGGCAATAGCCAAAGCAAGAAATAGAGATCCCCAACTGATTGCTCTGAGCCTCAAAATCAGGGAGGAACTTCGTAGAAAATAAAAACCTGGGCAATTGTAGGACTCTTGGGGACAACAAGTAATGGGTCAGGCTGCCCGTAACAGCAGCAGATAAAGGAAGAGGGGGACAATTAGCTCTGGGCTCCTTTCTCTCCTCAGAATCACTCGGAACCTGAATCCCAGCTCAACCAGCACTACAAGGAAAGAAAACTGCAAGGCATCTTGGGAGTTTAGAACCTAAGCAAAAGCCAAGAAAAAAAGAATAGAGAGACTTGGCTTTTTCAGAGAACAAATGCAAGGACCACTAACTATAACAATAAAGATTGAGAATACAACTGTACCTCATGGTGTCTCACTAATAAAAATTTAAAAAAAAAAATAAAGATTGAGAATACTGAGAAAGCAAATTATCACAGAGATACCACCTCAACCCCCACCCTCGCCCCCCTGAACTGTGATATCAAATAATCCTTTTCCTATTCAAGGCATTTTAATCTTTTGCCCTCATCTCGCCTGAGGGATCATCAATAACACCATCATTTCTCTTGGAGGGTGAGGTGTTGGTGCCAGGGATTGAACTCGGGGATTCCTTCTAAGGAGCATGCATTCCACCACTGAGCTGCATCAGGATCATTATTTCTCAGTTGCTTTAGAGCAGCAGATTCAGCTCATAGGAAGAAAAATGCAGAAGCAGTTGGAACTTCAAAACACCCTCCAAGATGCTGCCTAAATCAGAAAAATGAAAGCAGTAGGGTATAGTGCTAGGGGCTATAATGATTTGGGGAATAACCTGGCACGTCAACGAAAGACTGTTATCCTCAACTGAAAGCTTTCACAGGCTAAGGGGGCAGGGAACAGAATGACTCACTTGAGACAGCACCAAAAGAACAGAGATGCTACACTCACCCAGGAAGATGACAGTAGGCCAGCAAAACCCAGTGGCCAAGGGGAAGTGAGCAGGGCCACACTTTCTGCTAGTACCTTCATCTCCATCTTCTTGCCTTTCTATAAACAAGCAGTTCTTTACATTAGCTTGGTCAGACAGTCCTTCTTCAAACAAATCACTCAAGAGTGCACACAAAAAGTTACTTTTAAATTTATTACAGAGAAAAAAATACCCTGAAACATGTGTTAAATAACAAGAATTCCTGACAAAATCACTCTTGAGCATTTCTGCGCCTCATCACCTGGTCAGATACGGTGAGTGGTCTGGTCTCTGGTCAGCTTCACTCACCCCACCACAAGCCATGGCAACGCCCAAACAGCTACTCAGTGGCCTCCAAGCTTCTGCAGAGATGCCCTTGGTTAGTCCAAAAGTAAACAAGAACCAAGTTGGGAGGGAAGTTAGGAGGACAGCTGGGAGGGGGGAAAAGCATGTCAATAATTTGTCAGTATAGAACAAAGGATATATGCGAGTGTTAATTTCAACTACGCTCCCACTTAATGTTTTCATTGTAGGCAGTGGACTCTCCTATTGCTTTAGTGTGATGGTCTTATCCTCCAGACTTGCCTAAAAGATACAGTTCATTATTTCTTTTCCTATCAGAAACAGAAAATCAATTCACCCCCAGGTAATACTTTCCAATCTGTATTGAAAATAATTTCCAGAGCTTTCTGGACATTTAAAGAAAGGGGCTACAGTACACTGATATGGATTAACAGTTCTTGGAAGGAATTTGAATTGCACTCTCTCATCGAAGGTCTGTGATGGTCACGGCTCTGTCCACAACTGTCACGTGGCTGCAATTCTGCAACAGGGAGAAAGAAAGAACAGTCTGGAAAATTCTTTTTTTTTTTAAATGCTTATTTAAAATACTCACTCTAGAAGCTGGGACGTGGCTCAAGTGCTGGAGCACATGATCCCCTCAGCACCATACAGAAGGAGCATCCCCCCCACACAATCGCAACAACGAGCTGGTGAAATGAAACACTCAGAGAAGCTGGCTCCCACTCCGGACGCTAGACTGCTACTTAAAAGGCCTTTCGAGGTTGGACCTGAGCAATATTAGTGTGGGCAGGGCACCTGCCCTGAAGCAGCCGACCCAGGTTAAATCCCCAGCACCCCATATAGTCCCCTGCGCCCCATCAAGGGTGATCCCTGACCACAAAGCCAGGAGTAGGCCCTGAGCACTGCTGGCAGTGACCCCAAGCCCCAATTCTAAAAATGTGAAAAACAAAAGGCCTTATACTAAAAGGCTGGAATGCATTACTCCCACCGGTATGGACCTACAGCCCGACTCATCAATGTCAGCTAATATTATCTTTTTTTTTTCAAATGCATGTTTTTATGGAGTCACTCATAAAATATATACTAATTTAAAATGATTTCGGAGGGGTTGGGGAGATATTACAGGGGTTAAGACACTTGCCTTGAATGTGGCTGACCCTGATTTGATCCCTGGTCCCACATATGGTCAGAGTCAGGAGTGAGCCCTAAGTTTGGCCTGGTTTCGGGCAGCTTCAAAGTACCTCCCATACATAAAAGGAAACATAATAGATTCTAGATCCCCTGCAGCTTTGTGGTGCTGATGCCAACCAAGTGATAAAGTACACCTACTCTCATATGGGGAATCTCACTTAGGGCAGGCCATAGGGGTCTGTAGAGCTGAATATCGAGGTACCTGTGGGTTCTGTGTGACCTCTGTTTCCATCCAGGTACTTAGAATTTTTTTTTTTTTTAACAAACTGCTCAGAAAGTTTTTTTAATCATACTCAAATAAAACTGCCATTCCATGAGGCCTTAGGTTGAGTTCTGGAAGCTATATCGAACACACCCCCACACATTTTTTTTTTCTTTAAATAGAGGCCCCACCTGGCAATACTGCAGCACCCAGGGCCATTCCTGGCCATGCTCAGCCTGACGGGCTGGTGCTCCAGCTGGCCGCACCATGCCTGGGACCCACCAGGGCCACGTGGGTGGTACTTGAGGACATGAAGAATCCCAGCAGCATTTGGGATTAAACTCAGAGCCTCACACGGCAGAGTGTGCTCCACCACCTGAACTGTCTCCCTGGCCCTTCTACCCCATCCCTCTAGGCACTTCTTACATTGAAAGTCAGTTCCCAACTTCTCCCTGGAGTTTCTCTTCTAAACATCTGCGATCCCTTTCTGTTCCATTCATGTGACAACAATTGGAGTCCCTTTTCCATACAAGTCACTTGAATTTCCTTTTTTATTTTTATTTTTTTTTTGGGGGGGAGGGAGAAGGGTTGTTTGTAACCACACCAGTGGTGCTCAGAAATCATTCCTGGGGGAGCTTAGGGGACGATATGGCATGCTGGAGATCAACCCTGGTCAGCCATGTGCAAGGCGAATATGTGCCCTAACTCCGGTACTATCTTTGCAGTTCCCCATAATGGTCACTTTTCTGAGAGCTCCAAAGAAACAATACTCCCTGCCCAGCATGGAGCAAAGTGATGCTACCGCATTGGATTTGAGGGGCCAATGGGAACATACTGATCTTATCAGTAATGAAAACATTTTACTTGCAGAGTGCAACTTAGGAAAAATAACTTCCTAAGACGGTCAGAAAATAGAAGCTAAATTTGAGAATTATATATACTTTGCCTCTTTTTTTTTTTTTCTTTAAACATAAGCAGCTCACAAAAATACACTTCGTGTGTAGGGAGGCTTCTAGCCCTGTTGGTTTTGTGTTTGGCTGGTAATTCTCAGGGGTCCCCCAAGGCCACATTCAAGTGGTGTTTGTGGGGGTGGTTTGGTGCCAGGGCTTGAACTCAGGCCTTGCTATGACAGGCATAGGCTCTTGAACTATGTCCCTGGCCCCAACTTAACCTAACTTAAGAGACTCTTCTTTGAATTCCCACCTTTATTAAAATACACACTTAGGCTCTGGAGTGATAATACAGTGCGTAGGGCCTTTGCCTTGCACCCAGCCACCAGAGTTTGATCCCCAGCATCCCATATAGTTCCCTGAATACCTCCAGGAGTAATTCCTGAGTGCAGAGCCAGAAGTAACCCCTAAACATCACCGGATGTGACCCCCAAACCAATAAAAAAAAAATAAAATACAGGTTTAGCAACTGAAATCGATGAAGGAAAAATAAAAAGAATAACATTTTATAAGCTAGCTTCTGCACAAGGTCATTTATACATAATACTTAACCCTATCAATAACACTATAAAATATTGTTTTAATTTTCATCCTCATTTATAGCTGATTAAAAAATGGAAGCCCCAGAGAGTTTCAGAGCCTCTTCAGAGACACACAGCTGGGAAGTGGCTGAACTAGGTCTCAATGTGCTCCTTTCCCACACGGTTCCACATGCACAGCCTCACCAGAAAAATCCTGGGAAAGGAGGCATAACAAGGTAGATCCACTCTGTATCAGGACAGGCAGGCATTTCCTCAGTCCCCATGGTCCTCCCTACTTAGCTCCTGCCCTGCTTCTGTCTACAGTAGATACCTACACAGAATAGAGGGGGATCCTTTCTGTGTGGATGGAAGCCTTTCTGGCGACAAGAAGAAATCTCTTTGAATCCATGGTCGGTCAGTTTGAAGAATCCAGTCCTGAAATAAGAAGAGGCGGACTCAGAATCAAGCAAGGATGTCACACACACACACACACACACACACACACACACACACCTTGAGACAGCTTCAAAAGTACCCTGGGTCATAGGTGTCTTGTTAAGTCTCTGATTCTGAATGAATCAGGATTAGAGAATGACTCATCACGGCCACACAAATTTTGCTGGAAGAATCCATAGTAAATAATAGAATTTGGAATGGAAAAGAAATTAATACTTGATGCAAACATTATGAAAATTATTTGGTAAAATCTATTAAAAACTGACATGCACTTAAAAAAATTAATACTCTGACATATCTCAATCTCTTAAAATTCCTACTGTTTCAAGTCAAACCCTTCATCTTTTTTGTGGTCTTGTCCTAGGAAAAGTCCTAAGTTATTTTCTGGAACTCTTTTTAAACATGTATAGTAGGCTTATCAGGAGATGGGAAGTCTTTTAGAACAATCAATAAATAATAAATGATGTTTACATTTTATAGAGAACAAGGATTAAAAACAGGAAAAAAAAAACTTTGAGACTTTCTTCTCATTTGCTCCCTCCCATAACATGCCAACCCGGGTCTCAGGGACTCACTCCTGGAACTTGGGAGAGCAAACGATGGCTATTGATTCTGGCAACATCATCTGGTAGGAACAGTGAGTGTGCATATCGACACTGGAGAGGAAGGCGGTCTGCGTGGGATGAGTCTGCGAAGAGAAAGAACAGTCAGAGACCCTGTCCATAAGGAATGGCAGCCAGGCCTGGCCCGAGAGGGGAGGCAGTCAAACAGTGGCCACAAACCTGAGTGCAGAGTCAGGAGGATAACATGAGAACTTGAAGATACTTGTAATATCTAACTAGCCACCAAGACTTATTTGGCTCAGGCTGGGAAGATAGTGCAATGGATAGGCCATTTGCGTTGTACACAGCCAACCTGGGTTTGATCCTTGGCGTCCCACATGGTCCCCTGAGCACCACTAAGAGTTACCCCTGAGCATGGCCAGGCGTGACACAAAAGAAAAAAAAAGTATTTGGCTTATGCAAGTTCTTCCTAGATAATAGCTGTTTTGGAATAGACAGTATCTACTTCAGAATGATAGCTGATAAAGACTTGATAAACCAGTTAGAGATGGCTCTTCTTCCTGAGTGAGGTATTAAAAAGTCAAGCAAGTCTAGGGTGTTTATAGGTAAAAACAGCAAAAACTGTCCTGTGACTAAAGCATATGAGAGGATTCATCCAAGGAGACAAGGGGCAGGATGATTGGGTACTCAAGGCAGACAGCTAACTCGCACAGAACACTTTGGGAAATACTAAAGAAAGTAAAAATGGAGGCCAATCAACCCTCTACATGTAGAGTTCATTGATCTCACTTGTATTCAATTATTTTGTTTTACTGAGCACATTTTTTGGATACAAAAAGAGAAGTTACAGAATGACTCCCGTGGCAGTAGACCACAGTGACGGAAAATTCAAGGTCCAATGTGACTCAAAAAGACCACCAATCATCCTTGACAGAAAAGCACCGAAAAGAATTAAGTATGCTCAATGAGTGGTTTCAGCCCTACTAGGAAAAAGCCAAAGCACAGGCTCTGGGGCTCCGCCTGTTCTTGTGGCCTCGTCTGAGTGACACTATGCCACAGAGTGCAGGAGCAGCCCACCGGGGATGGCTGCAAGACAAGAGCTCAGGAGCTAAGGCACACACAGATGCTGTGGCCATCGAAGAACTTCAAGACACCTAAGGAAAGTTTCTCCCTGATCCTGCCGACTGGTAGGGAGAAAAGGTGGTGCCAGCGTCCGTCATGCCATGGTTGAAGTGGAAACCTCTCCCTGGGAACAGATGAGGCCTACGCCGGCCAGACTGGGCAAGGGGGCATGGAGAGCTCAGTGGCACAGGCTCTGCCTTGCACATATGAGGCTGGATTCCATCCCTGGCACCACCTCACCTGTGCCAGCTTCCATCCTTATGGCGATGCCATTTTGGCTCCCAAGTGCCATGATAAAGCACGCGATCTTGGCTGTGGAGCGACTGAATGGGCACAAGCATCACAACTAAAAGTGGGCATCCCCAGGTGAGCCCCACAACCAAGCATTCCACCTCTGATCATCCCAGTGACCAGCACCAAAAAAGTGGGGGAGGAAAGGAAAGAAGAATGAGCTAAGGTTGGGATAGTTGCCGAGATCATACAGACAACCGGTAGAGGCTCAGTAAATAGCTGATAAGCTATGTCAAAAACTCGAATCCAAACCTTGGTTCCCCTCTAACTACTGTGCCTTTCCCCCTTCCTTCCCTCTTATTTGAGTTTCCTGGGGAGGGGGGGAAAACCCCAAAAAACAACAGCATATCCAGCGTTCATCCCACTGTGGACAGGGGAAGTTTGTATGAAGAGAAAAGGGTACTGCTGAGGAACAGAGAGAAGCCAGCATGGTAACCCCAAAGGCAGCCTGGGTTCCTGGAGCAGAGAAGAGGCCACATAAGGCTGGGCTGAGACAAGTGAGGGCAGATGCCTTCAAGTAGGTGCGGCTGACACAGAGTCGATCACTGTGACCCCTCAGGGTTGTTCTTAAAAAATATTATCTTATTTATTTTGGTTTGAAACCACACCCACTAGTGCTGAGAGCAATTCCCTGCTCCCTGCTCAGAGACTGCCCCAGGTGTAAGGGGCCACAAGGTATACAAAGCATCATCGAGCCAAGTGTGCATGCCAGCATGTTGCGCTACCTCCCCACTCCTCAGAAAAAGTTTTGAATGGCAGCCTGAATTACAACTGGCAAGGGGAGAATGAAAATTTTATGTTTATCATTTTCTCCTGCTAGTTTTAAACCTGACAGCAGGCCTTTTCTTCAGTTCAAATTAGCCGCTCTATTTGTTCTTGGCTGGACCCTTACTGATATTAGAAATCTTTTGATTTTGGGGCTGGAGCACAGCAGGTAGGGCGTTTGCCTTGCAGGCGGCCAACAAGGGGTTCGATTCCCAGCATCCCATATGGTCCCCTGAGCACCACCAGGGGTAATTCCTGAGTGCAGAGCCAGGAGTAACCCCTGTGCATCGCCAGGTGTGACCCAAAAAGCCAAAAAAAAAAAAAAAAGAAAAAGAAATCTTTTGATTTCACTTCCATCTAAATTCAACCTGAGATCTGAGATCTAAATAGCAATGATTCTACCTTAACCCCTGTACTAGCTCTCTGCGCCCCTTACCCCTTTGGTGGTTTTGATTCAACATTCTCCTACCTCTGCATTGTCTCATTTCTCCTGCCCTTTGCCTCTCTCCCACGAGGCTCACTGGGTCTGAAAACATGTTTGGACAACTACACACAAAAACTGAAATCAATGTTTAAAATGCCAAGTCAAAGGAGCCAGACTCAGTAAAACATACATCATACAATCCTGTTTATACAGAGTTTCAAAGCAGAGAAAATTAAACAACTGAGTTTGGGAACACACATCTAGGTGGGAAAGCAAGAAAGAAAGCAAGGGGTTTCCAGAAGAGTTGGGGTTGCCTGCTGCAGGAAGTGTGTGGGTGGGAGAGTGGGGTGGGGTGGGAGCCAGCCTCTGAGAACATTGAAGGGAGTGTGTGTCCATAGCTATTTGCTTAAAAGATTCATTAGTGTACGAGCAGTTTATGCATTTTGCTATATAAGCTGCATTTCAAAAACAAAGGTTTCAAATATCAAAACAAAACACACACTCAGAACTAAACTAGGAAAGTCAAGTAAACATTAATTCCAGCAAACACTCTCATCTAGCCACTTCTCCTTTTCTCTTTCTAGCCACCATTCCGTCTCTTCCTTTCCTCTAGATCTAAGGCCTTCTAAAATTGAGGCTGGAGCGACAGCACAGCGGGTAGGGCGTCTGCCTTGCACGCAGCCAACATGGCCAACCCGAGTTCGATTCCTCCGCCCCTCTTGGAGAGCCCGGCAAGCTACCGAGAGTATTCGATATGCCAGACACAGTAACAACAAAGTCTCCAAAGGAGACGTTACTGGGCCCGCTCGAGCAAATCGAGGATCAACGGGAGGGCCTTTACCTTTACCTTTACCTAAAACTGAGGACACCTATAACTATCTCTAGGGTAGTTACCGTTACAGTTAATTCAGTCTCTGTTCCTTCCGAACCCTCATGAGACGCTCCCACCATTGCCTAAAGGCTCTTAATCAAGGCCATCAATGGCCTCAGCCGGTCTAACAGGCTGATTCCAGTGTGTGGCCTGGCTTCCAGGCTGTAGTTTTTTGGCTTCTTGGCTTTCTACTGCCCTCTGACTGCTTTCTATTTCATTGCCTACTATTCCCTGTGCTCTCCCAGTTGCCCCCATGTCTCAGTGACTTTTTTCCTGTTCTCAACTCTCCCCTGGTTCCACATTTTCTAAAATCAGATCATGGCAGAGAATTCCCCAAACTCTTTCCCACCTTCACTTTGCTCCAGAGTTGAAGCTCCATTTCCAATTGTCTAAGTACCCCACTGATTTAATGTCACACCAGTACTTTAAATTGAACATGTTAGTACTGAACATACCATTCACACACCCCCCTTCCAAAGTGAGCCCTCCACCTGGGGTTGCAGTTTCTGCTTATGAGATGATCAGGTTCCAAATCTCCCAATCATCTGACTCTTAGTCATCTTCTCTTACTCATCTTCCCATATTTGTTTCCTCCTTCCCAAGCATCCTGTATCATCACCTTCTTTGTCACAGTTTTATCATATTGATCTCTTGAATGAGCTCACCATCTCAGCTCACCCCCAAAATGTCTTTATGCTAAAGTGACTAAAGTATGACTTGGAATATATCATCACTCTACTTAAAAATCTTTAAGAGTTCTCCACCTACAGAAGAGCAGAACTATTCTGCAGGTCCACCCAAGACCCTCCAGAACTTGGCTCTAAAGAATCACAATAAAGCTTCTCTACTACGCTTTCCTGTTATGAAGGACAACTCCCAGCAAACCGTAGCATTCACTGTTCCAGGCACAGCCCACTATTCTGAGGTCATCCTCCCACCTGTGATCCTTTCCTCTGCTGAGAACCACGTGCCCGGTTTGCACCTCAGAGGACACTCTGGCATACTCTGCCTCATGTCCCTTCTCTTCCGTAAGTCTAAAATTCTATTAATTCCAATCTGTATCCCTTGGCAGGTAAAGAAAAAGTTTTCTATCTGCCATCTAACTGCAATGGGGGAGGGGACACACGTGGTAGAAGACAAATATTCCATACAACTGAGTTCAAGACAGGCTCTTCGGAAACCCTCACAGACCCAAATTTCCCTGATTGTCACATATAAGGATAGGTGACCATCCTGAATCCAGAAAGCAGCCAAGCTGTCTGTATATCACATCCCATGGAAAAGCAGCTTAGTCCAAGAGAGGAGAGGGGCTAACACAGAATAGGAGAGAAAATTCAGAAATAATATTTAGGGATGAAAGTCTATTTAACCAGAAAATGGCATCAGAGATGCACTTGAGAAATCTCCTATATTGGCAGCCCTTCTGGTTTACATAAAGGTATTTTCACTGCTTTAATCAAGGCCAAATGCAAGCAACTGAATTAATTTCCTTGGCTCATTTGAAATATTTTGATTTTATATATAACTTTCTGAGGGACACTGTTTATAGGAAACAGGTCCAGCATCTATGGTAAAGTCAACAAATATCCTAGGTCCACTACTCATATCATACTTATAGGAAAACTAGAACTTTGGGGAAAACAAGTTCATTTATATTAAAACGTTCTGCCTAAATTAAAAAGCTCTAAGTAGTTGCCAGATTCTTAGTGGAGGGCAAGCAGTGACCTATGCAAGTCAGCACACATCCGATGGTGGGAAAACCTGTGTGTAAATACATAATCTGGAGGCAATGACTTGGCTCAGAGGAAGCAGCAGCGTGTTTATAACATCCAGAGGCTGATCCTTACAGAGCTCAGGCTTGCTTACATGAATCCAGCCCAGTGTGATGAGGTCCTGCTCATCCTGTATGAAGAAAAGCTCTTCCTCATTTTCGGTGTTGCAATAATCGGCTCCAGCACTTTGCTTGGGGATGAGAACGTGGGTGATGGTAAATTCATTCCTCATCTGTCAAAGGAGAAAACAAGCTTGTCACAATTCCTGGGCACTTAGGCAAACCCATGCTGTCCTGGCAGTAGAAAATTAAAACATCTATATAAGGAAAGTCCAGCCCACTGAGTTCTGTCATGAGTCATGTTGTAGCTCCTGGGTCCCTCACCTCAGTGGTACCCAATCTTAGCTGCTCACGGGCACTGCATGAAGTACTCTTATTTGTTTTGGGGTCAAACCTAGCAGTGCTCAGAGCTTACTCCTGGCTCTTTGCTCAGGGGTCACTCATGGCGGGACTCTGGGGACCAAATGGGATGCTGGGTATTGGAGCTGGGTCAGCCATGTGCAACACAAATGCCCTACCTGCTGTGTGACCACTCTGGCCCCCACAAGGTACTCTAACAGCAGCCAGATGGCAACTACCTGGGCAGAGTTCCTGCTCTAGCTAAACAGGGGCTCAAGGAGTTCCAGGCAGATAATTTCTCATCCCTTGCTCCAGCCTGATGTAGGTTTCATCTCGCTGCTTCTCCTCCTTCCATTTAATTTATCCCTTCAGCTATTAGGTGTATACGTACAATGACCTTTCCTTCCTCAAGATTCCTATTGCTTGTGCTCCATGAACCATTCACTGTGCTATTTATTTATTGGTGTATTAGCCTCATCTCTCCAAAGCACCTGGGAACTTTTCCATAGACACATGTTATGATCCTACCAACCATAAAGAGATGCTCAAGAGATGACACATAGCATACAGGTGAGCCCTGGATCTTTACCCCCGGGATTAGAATCTTTTTTTTTTTTTTTACTATTAGCATTGAAACAATCAGTTCAAGAAATCCTGCAAATCAAACAAAAATAGGGCGACTGAGTTTAAGACGGCACGCCAGCATATTGCCTGCGGTTTCTTCAGCAAATGGGCTGATGCCCAGTAACCGAGCCCATGGACTGTATCTTCTTTCAGAGTCACGGGAGGCCAAAGCTGAGAGAAACCATCTCAACTCAGCAAAGAGAGGTTGGTTGTGTTTTTGCTGTTGTTGTTTGTTTCTTATTTCTTTTTTTTCCTTTTCTTTTCTTTTTCTTTCTTTCTTTTTTTTTTTTTTTTACCAGTTTTCCGCAGAGAATTCCACATGTTTCTACTCCCCGGGCAGTGTTGGCACTGGCTAACTGGAGAAACTGGGGGCAGAGCCGCTCAGGCACCACCACGTGGCGTAGTCCCTCGATGGTTGGAACTGTAAGGGAGAAAAGGGGAAAGTCAGACGGCTGGCAGTGACTTTCTACATGGCCTGGGGCAATTAGAGCCATGTGGGCTCCTAACTTCAGGTCGGGGCAGGGGGGCGCATCCTAAGGACAGAAGGAAAAGGGCTGTGGAGCCTCTTCCCCAACCCCTAGCCACAGCTGCCAGGAGAACATTCTTCTAAGAAAAGGAAAGAGGAGGATTTAATTATACAAGTTCAGACCCGGGTAAAGTATTACTTAAAAGATGTTTCCGAGCTGTTCAGAATCCTGCCTCAACCTAATACGAAGAATTATTTTTTTTAAGGAATCTTCTTTTTCTGCCGAATTTGAGTTTTTAATCCTCTCCTTTCAGATTCAACTATCAGAGACTATAACTTTTAAATAAATATTAGGCTATATTCTAGAAAACAGGAAAATAAAATCATTTGAGTCACTAGTTTGAGTGAATTTATTCCTTTAGGAGAAAGCTCCAACTCCAAAATGAAATAACAAAAACCATATTGTAGTTCTCCAAAACTCCCTGAGCGAGCAAAGGAGCTCCTGAGCCTGCATTCAAAACGCCAATGGCTGAGCCTGTGTCCCAGGGGAAACCCCGGGGCTGAGTCCGCAGGCTGGAATTGGGGGTAACTTTCAGAGCACTTTTTCACCGTCAGAAAAAAAGTGAAAAGGGATGTTGTGCTCCAGCACCCCCAGTCGTGAGATGTGAACTGCTGGGAGGGAGCCAAGTGCGAGCAGGGGCCCTGCAGTCCGGAGCTGATGGGGCCCAGGGAGGCCAAGGAAGTCGGGCCTCTGCTCCCCAACTCCCAGTCAGTGCCACTAACAAGGCACGGAACAGTGCTGGCCCAACAAATCTCAACTGCCTAGCAGACTCAAAGCTCTCTGGAAGCTGTAAGGAGAAGAGAACCAATCTGATCCACAAAATGGGGATTGGGAAAACTGACAAGAAAAGCCGGGAAGGTTAAGAGAAAGAATGGGGGAAAAGGCAGCTCAGATAGAGAAGGGAACACCAAGTAAAGGCTGTTTCGAGGATTCGCTCGGGATGCGAGACACGTGCTGAAAGTAGACACAATGCAGACCACAACACCCTAAAGGAAAGAGAGAGCAAAAGGGAGTGCCCTGCCATAGAGGCAGGGTGGGGCACGGGGGAGGGGTGGTGGGAGGACTACTGGAATCATTGGTGGTGGAAAATGGGCACTGGTGGAGGGATGGGTACTCGATCATTGTATAACTGAAACCCAAGCACAAAAATTTCTAAGTCTACAACTGTGCCTCATGGTGTTTCACTAATTTAAGAGAGAGAGAGAGAGAGAGAGAGAGAGAGAGAGAGAGAGAGAGAGGATGGAGATTTAGGTTCAGGGAAAATATGAACAAAGCTCTTTGGGGTAGGGGCGGGGAGCGTTGAGGGACTATTCTGGAAACACAAAAGACCAAGTTAACAGGACCAGAGAAGGTGTACGAAGGAACAGTAGAGAAAGCCTGTTGAGAACATGGAGAAAACCCCAAAGGCCAGGCCATGGCATCCAGCAGCTCCTGCCCTCTCTCTCAGTGTTCACTTAAGTGGATTTTCCTTAAAATGAAGACAATTTACTGCCTCCAAAAGCCTGTTCTGTGTCTTTGTTAAGGGTAGCAGGGAGAGGTGAGGGGGAAGGAGGGGAGGACTGTGGTGGCCATGGAGTGCTCAGGGGGCATGTGGCCACTCCAAGCGATACTCGGCCAACTGGTCAAGGGTTCGGTGCTAGGGCCTGAGGTTGTGCCGCTACTTGCAGTGCTCAGGGATTCCCGGGTAATACTCAGTGGTACCCAGCAGGTGATATGATACAAGAGATCAAACCCAGGCCAGGGTGCATGCCACATGCTTGGCACATGCTCTTACTTGATGCTCTATCTCTCAGCCTCCGGAGTCCTCCTATTATGATTTGCTCGAGCGGGCCCAGTAACGTCTCCATTGGAGACTTTGTTGTTACTGTGTCTGGCATATCGAATACTCTCGGTAGCTTGCCGGGCTCTCCGAGAGGGGCGGAGGAATTGAACTCGGGTCGGCCATGTTGGCCGCTTGTAAGGCGAACGCCCTACCCGCTGTGCTATCGCTCCTGTGTATTTTTCAAGTTGATTGAAAAATACTGTTGGTTTTTGAACAGACTTTTGCTAGTTTTTATGGCTACACTGAATTGTCGCTAATGATATACAATATTTATCATGACACAGATACAATTCAGCAGACTTAAATAAGTGGTTTAGAGCTTGAAAGACAGTAGAGTAGCTAAGGCCCCTGCCATACACATGGCTAACCAGGGTTCAATTCCTGGCACCCCATGTGGGCCCCTAAGCCTGCCAGGAGCTGATGCCTGAGTGAGAACCCACAGTAAGCCCTGAGCACTGCTAAGTCTGGTCCCAAAACAAAACATTTTAGTTCAATTACTAAACAGCAGAGTGGTATATATAAAAAAAAAAAAGTCCAAATTTTCTTCACCAAAGGCCAACAGTGGTGTCTAGGTCACTAAACATTTCAAATCTTTATGCAGTCCTTAAAAGCTGGAAACTGGGCAATAACTCTCAGGGTCATATTTAGCTCTTCAGAAAGTCAAGCAGGTCCAGCAGTTGCACGCTTTGCTTAGGCAACGGCCACCTTCACAGTCCACCTGGCGTGGCAGGCCACACCACGGGCAATGCTTATTCTACACTGGATTTTGGGGACCATGGCCAAATGAGTGGGACCGTAGAAGTAAGGTCAGCAGGGCCCTGCTGGGCTGCGATGGAGATGGAAGAGAAGAGGACAAACACACTCACTACTTTCTGAGTTGTTCAATGCGCCAGGTTTCAAGGACCTGTCCACCACGGGAGGCTTGGTGGGCCTGGGTGTTGTGCTGCTGTGCGGGGGCTGCGTGGATGGGACTGGAGCTGTGGGGAACACATCTGGGGGGGGCACGTCAGGCACCAAGGGGCCACCTTGGCCAGGGTCCACCTTCCCAAACTCCTGTACAATTTTCAGCCGCTCTTTTTCTAGCTCCTGGTTCCGAATCATCTCCTCAAAGGCATGGAACTGCTCTTGCTCCAATTGCTGCTGCTTCTGCTGTGCGACCCTCTGCCTTTCCTTCTCCAGCTCCTGCTGGATGGCCAGGTTCCTGGCAAACTGTTCAGCTTCCTTCTTCTATAAAGAAAGCAGAGGGGTGAGGAGAAATGCTGTTGGCTCAAGGGATCTACTACCTCAGCAGGACAAGGACAAGTCTTGTCAGTGGGGTGCCACGGATACAGCCCAGAATCCTGGGGCAGTAGGAGGGCAGAGGCGACTCCAGACTCAGACCTGCTGTGCTGGGGCTGCCATTAAATGTTAACCAAATTGAAGACTCTAGAATTTTCCTGGTTATCGGTTCACTGCAGAGCCATACTGCAGACGAACAATTACCAGGTCATGACTTAAGGTTTTTCTCTTACTAGGGTGTCTTAGAAATCTATGCCTTGCAGGGGTTGGGGAAAACGCTCAATGTGCAAAGCACATGCTTTGCATGCATGAGTTCAAGTCCAGCACTATCAGACACTGCCAAGAATAGCTCCGAAGGACCATCGGTGCCTAAACAAATAGACAAATCAACATATGCCTCTTGGTTTCTCTCAGCTGATTTTCAACAATGGTATATCTAACAGAGCTTAGCAGATAGCTACAAAGCCATACACAAGCACCTGCAGCATGGCCCAGACTACTGAGAGTCACTTGGAAATTTCTCCACATGCTTGTCTTTTCTTCCTGGGGAGATCATGAAGGAGTTCTCCACAGGTTTTGACCAACCCTTCCAACAAAAGATCATTTGAAAACTGCTCGAGAAAATATCAATTATTATGAACCACTATAATGGTTTCTAATATAACCCAATGTGAACCAAGTCCCACAAATTCTGTGACCTAGAACCCCATGTTTTGGTAATCCTCTAGACCATATTTCCCAAAGTCGGTAATACTGACCCCCTGCAGGGGCACTGGATGGACTGGGGGTGGGGTGGGGTTTCAGTAGCTTTTGGGAGTCCTTTCTGTTGACTTGCTTAAGAAGGCAGGAGGGAGTGTTGAGTAATTTTTTTTTTCTGAAAAAGGTACAAAAGGCCAAATAAGTTTAGGAATTTCAGATCATCTGTATTAGAATCTTCAGACAAACTATTTATGTTCTAATTTGCCTTTCTGGTCTTTGCCAAAAGAAAGTGAAATATCACATCAAAAATCGCAGGATCTGGAGAGCAGGACCATACCTCAAAAGGTAGCACATATGTGAGGCCTTGAGTTCCATCCCCAGAACCACATGCCATATTCCCAGCACCATTGGATGTGACCCCTGTCTAGGCTTGTTTGAGTGTCTTAATCAAAAGTTTTCATTAAATAATGTGTTTTAATCCCAGGGCACTCCTAAGAAACCAAAATGATTTCCTTCTCTTAATTTCTGCTGTTGTAAACTCACCTTTTCTTCATTATAATCTGTATATTCTTTGGTATATCGTTTTAATAGTTCTGCCTTTAGTTCTTCTGCTCTGGGAAATGCAATCTCCTTTAATTTCTGAGACAGAAAACAAGAAGCTCAGAATTAGAACAATTACCAAGGAATTAAGCAGAGAAGTAAAAGAGAAGACTTAACATTGACAAAGGCAACAGTGTTTTCAAAAATGGTTCTAAATTTCCCGAAATTGTGCCACCCCCTAATTTCCAAGAGACCTGGCAAAATGGCCTCATCTCCTACTACGGGATTTGATGCTCAGATGCAGGCACCATTATTTTTTCCTTGAAGCTAGTCTGTGCCCCTCTGAAGGTATTAGATTGGCAAGAGTAAAGGTGAAGACACCCACCTTTACTGTATCTTTCTTTTCAGGAATGACGGAGGATTTGTAATCTCGATGCTTTGGCAGTTTCTCAATAAAGAGCCTAAGGGAAGAGAAGAGAAAGATCATGATGCAAAGAAATCTCCAGGTGTCAAAAACAAAAAACAAAAAAAACAAAAAACCTGAAGCATTCTGCTTTGAAGCAACCCCGCATGTCAGACTTTCAGACTTGCAGGGAAGGCAGCAGGCAAGGCCAGCTGGTTCAGGTTCCTCACCCATGCCAACTTCTAGAATGAAAGCGTTTCACTCTCTGCCCAAAACAGAGGCAGCAGCAAGTCAAAGACCCCGGCAACAACAACAATAACAATAACAACAAAAGAAAATGGGGGTGGCGGTGGGGGAGAGATAGCTCTAAGGGCCACAGCACATGCTCTGCACCCTGGAGCCTCAGGTTCAATCCCTAACACTGCATGGCCCCCTGAGCACTGTGCCAGGAAAAGCCCCTAAACACTGCAGAAGTCACCCAAACTTCCCTTCTCTCCTCAAAAAATAAACAATGGGAAAAAGAAAATAGCCCATCCAGTGTTCAAACTATACCTAAAGAGATGGCTTTCATGTGACAATGACAGGTTTCTGCCCCTGTCTGAAAACTCTTCAAAGAAGTTGGCAGCCAAGAGCTCAGAAAACCCATGATTCATGACCAACCTTAGCCCTTGTAATTTTGGATTTCCCCCCCCTTTGAGATTCGTGTTCCTTAAAAGTAGAACATCCTTGCACCATGCCAAACACAGAAATGCTTAGGTAGTAGGTCAATTACATGTGTGTGATAGGTGCATGTTACATGTGTAATGCGAGTTATGATTCCTGATGAAATATGTTTAGGGAAATACAAGATGCTGGATTTTCTTTCAGTTCTTGTCCTTGGCCATAGAACAAGACAGAGGGAAAGACAAACAATCAATTCACAGGTATCGAATAGTTCTGATGGCTGCTGGGGGGACAGGGAAAACAAAGGGTGCTTCAGTAACTTGTCACAGTGCAAAGTGGCAGAATCAGCTCTTCAGTGCCTGCGGGTAGGCTCCAGTCTACTCTTTTAACCTCTCTACTGTGCCACCTCCACACGGCTCCTGCCATGCCAGAACTCCTGGAAGGGCTCTAAACAAAGATGGCTTTTAATAGAATTCAGTTGTAATAAACAAATTGAGGGCAGCTTGCCCACATCCCTAAAATACTGTACTGTAGTTAGGATAAATAGACTCTGTTCTACTTTTTTGCCTATGGGTAGGAGTCAATGGAGAAGAACCCTCAGTAGGAGAAAGAAGACAACCCCACCAAAACAAGCACCCCATAGATGAGACCCCCCTCCCTTGGGTCGATAATTGGCACATGACATTTTTTAATTTCAGTTTAATCTGACAAGGCCCATTAATGAGAAATGAAATGTTTAAAGGAAGTTTCCCTGCAGTGCTCTGAGGGTCTGGAGATCCACCCCCGGTGACACAGCTCAGAGGCCACCAAAATCAGGACATAGGGGACCCTGTGATGCCAGGGACAATCACTGGGCCTCTACTTGCCAAGCATGTATTCCAGCCCTCAAGTTATCTCCCTGATCCCAAGCAGAGGTGACTTATACAAATAAAATTATTCTAAAAATCTTCCCTTTGGACTCATGACAAATATATAAAGCTCTCTTTAAAATAAGTAAATCAATCTTCTCCTTGATTTAGCAATTCCACTTCTGGGTATCTAGCTAAAGAACAAAAACACCTAAGTTGAAAAAAATATCTGCACACTATGTTTGTTATAACATTCTTATAGACAGTATATGGAAACAACCCAAGTGCCCAACTAAAAGTTAATGACCACTTCTTTTTGTCTCCATCTTTTTTCCTTCTCCAAATCAATAAAGCAATCTGTACTCTTTTAAAATTAATTTTTATTTAGACCCCATGATTTCAAAAGTTGTAATAGATTATTTTTTAATGGTGTCTATGTACAAAAAGATATACCACTCAGCCATTAGTAAAACAAAATTTTGCTTTTTGCAACAAGCATGGGACTAGAGGGGGGCATTTTAAGTGAAACAAGTTAGAAGAAGTAAGAAATATCAGATGATCTTACTGATAGGTAGATGATGGAGAAGCAAAGCAAGGGAACTAATAAAACCAAGGGGGAGGGGGATGGAGCGATAGCACAGCGGGTGGGGTGTTTGCCTTGCATGCAGCCGACCCGGGTTCGATTCCCAGCATCCCATATGGTCCCCCAAGCACCGCCAGTAGTAGTTCCTGAGTGCATGAGCCAGGAGTGACCCCTGTGCATCGCCGGGTGTGACCCAAAAAGCAGAAAAAAAAAAACAAGGGGGAAAATGCATGAATTCGGACTGGAGAGCTGAGGTTACAGAAGGGGAGATGGAAGCAGAGGGTCCGGTGGACGGTGGTGAAGGGATATTAGAAAATTAGTGATGGATGTGGTGACATATAGTTTTGAGTAAGTGTGAAACCATATCTCTGAAAAAAACATCTGGTTGTACAAACTAATGGTATCATAATATATATAAACAAATAAAAGGTGAACTGGTTTCTGAAAGAAAAATAGAGGAGTGAATAGAAGTAACAAAAGCCTTGCAATTATTTTAAAAAAATAATAAAACAATATTCAATTCTTCAAACATAAAGTCCCAAAGAGACTATTAAGAGAAGGAAGACATAGGTTTTGGGGTCAAGAAATGTATGTAGAGGGCCAGGGTAACTAGCAATGAAGAACAAAGTGCATGTTCATTTATTAAAGTCTGAAATGACCAAGGAGTACCATGGCATGTTCACTCATGCTCTCAACCTGGAGATTGTAAATTCTCTGAGGTTCCAAGCTTCTTTATACATTCCTGTAAGGCCAGTCTGGTACCAGGGACAAAGAGCACTCAATAAATATCTGATAGATCAAGTGGTCTTAAAACAACTGACTGGACTGTTTTAATGTTTTTCTTGTTTTTTTTTTAATGCGAAAGTGTGAATACAGCACGGTACTTTTTATGTCAGAAAAAACTCACATATATACTCTGCATTCATTTTGTTTATAAGTATCTAAAACACAGCAAGAATATTCAGAAACAAAGAAAAGTGAAGGCAGGGGGAAAGGGCAGGAAAGGGAAAAGTGGAAATGGAACTTTTTTTTATAATGTAGGAGCACTGCTATTTATTCAGAAATGGAACTTTTCACCATATGACTTATTACACAATTTAAACTTTACACCATGAAATGGAATCTGGAGCTGTAAAAGAATACCTCTCTCTTGTTTCAGCGATGAGAGTCAATTTTCTCAAGGTGGAGCTAAGGGAAGAAGGGCAGAGAATGGTATCTCAGCCCCTTACCCACACTGGAAGCAAAAGGGCTCCCTCAGGCAGGTTACTTGATCTCTCCTTGCTCAATTTCTTTAAATAGATATCCCCATCATGCCAGGGAGAAAAGCAGTACAATCCGATAGGATTTTCATATTATTAATGATCTTTTTAAAAAAGTAATAAATATTAGGCCGAGCCCATAATGTATCTGCTATGTGACTGCATTCGCTAATAAGTTTTAAAATGTGAGCAGGAAGATGTTAACCTCAGTGCCAGAAGCACTCTGGGCACAGAGTAGTTGTGGCCCAGGTATATACTGTTCTCTGGGGTCATATCTGGTTGCAGTCTGGAGAGGGCAAAATGCACAAAGGCAAACAAGTCTGCACTGGTGATAATAAGCCGAAACAACCTGACAGAACAATGGGGGGAGAAAGCAGCATGTAGAAAAACAAACACAAAAGGTGACTTAAATATACAAAATGGTACTTTACTTAAAATGAAAGAACTTCTGATCAAGAGGAGATATGTGTTCTATTGATCAGATTGACAAAGGCTTGGCAGGTTGATTACAGTGCATGTGGCAGGGGTGTAAGGAAATGGGAGTCCTTCACTCTTCTAGCAGGACTGTGAATAAAGAACGCCTGAGTAGGCGGGTAGGAATCGACAATTCAAAATGGCAAATGTGTATATTCTTTAAACTCACAATTCCACTTCTAGGAATTTGTCCTAGAGATTGGTACACAACAGAACAAAGAGACAGAAATAGAGACAGATATTTAAGGGCACTCAGTAGAGCATTGTTCATAAAAGTAGAGAAAACTGAAGATCGATATGTTCATCAACTAGCAATTCTTTTAAAAATGACTGAGCGCCCAAATGTGGAAAACAACGTAATTATCTATTCTTCCTTTCAAAAAATATTTATTAGTCATCTACTATAGGGTGAGGCATTATTCTCAATGACACTGAATGACATCAACAAGAATTTCTCCCTGGGTCAGAACAACAGTACAGGGTGGGGCGCTTGCCTTGTACATGGCCAACTCAGGTTCAATCCCTGGCATAATATATGGTCATATGGTCCCCAATTTCTCCAGGAACGATCCCTGAGCACAGATCCAGAAGTAAGCCCTGAGAACCGCTGATTGTAACCCACAGCCTTGCCCCCCGCCCAACACACACAATTTTTTCTCCCCCCACCTCACAGAATGTGGGGAAACAGACAATAAACCAAATAAAAATCATGTAGACAATCAGTGCCAGAAAAAAAATTAGCATGAAGAAAGTGACTAGGAAGTGACAGGGGTTAACACTGACAGAGCAGCTAAGAAAAGCATCTCCGGGAAGGTGCCATCTGAGGAAGGAATGGGAGAAAGCAAGCCAGAAGAGATGTAGGATAAAACCGTTCCACAGACAAGAAATAGCTCTGAGACAGAATGAGATGAATTAGTATGTCCTCACTGCTGAGAAAGCAAGTGGTAGAATAAAGCATATCATATGACCTCATCCGTGCTTAGAGGAAACAGATAAGCAGATGAGCCTGTGCGCATGCAGAACCACAAACATTTTCACGCAGACACAAGAAACAAAACAGTGGTTGCATCGGTGAATGGGACTGTAATCTCTCTCTCGCCATATAGCTTGGAAAAAATTGAGAAAAAATCTTAATTGAGAACAAATATTAATTTTTGTATAAAAATAACAAATTAAGGGGTTAACAAAGAGAGCTTAACAGGCTGAGCACATGCAGGTCCGGTTCAGTGTT